TATGATAGCTATAAAATGGATGGACAAACGGGAAGTATATATGTTATCAACTATTCACGACTCACGAATGGTAGCAATCAACAAAATTGATCATAAAACAGGAAGACAAATTATGAAACCTGCCTGTGTTCAGAATTATAATGAAAATATGGGAGCAATAGATTTAGTTGATATACAATCAAGTTTTACAGAATGCATTAGAAAAACAATAAAATGGTATAACAAGTTATTTTTCCATATAGTTGATATGGCTTCAATCAATGCTTTTCATTTATATAAAACGAAAAATTCGGAGAATATTCAACTGAGAGACTTTCGTCTTCAACTGATAAAAAATATTCTATCAAAGTATGGTAACCAAAAACGAATTTCTATCGGCAGACCAACAATTGATTCACCACTACGTTTATCTGCTAGACATTTTCCATCACTTGTTCATCACTACCTTAAAAGCTGCTGCGCAGAGGAAATGTTATGTATGCTCTCATACAAAAAAAGATGACAAATCGGTCAAATATACAAGATCTCAGTGCGAAGAATGTGATGTTGGATTATGCGTAATTGACTGTTTTAAAGCTTATCATACCTTAAAACACTTCTGAAAATGGTTTTTGATTGAATAAACATATGTTTTCGCTATTTTAAAAAACTTAACTTTTTCAAAAAAAAACCGCCAACAAAGGGTTAAGTAACGTTGAAGTGTATTTTTACAAAAATAACGATTTTCATCAACTATGCAGCACTTTCAAAAACAAGATAACTCTCGTTCTTCGTCTTTCTTCTGTACGGTGTATTTAAGAGTATCCTCCTCCCTCCTTTTCCACCTTGTTGCTAAATGCAGAGCACACGCCCGATTGAGCTCAAATTTATATCATAGATAGAATATCGAAAAAGAAAATCGATATATTTTTGCCCAGAATTTTCTGAGATGTTCTTACATGGGTTTTCTGGCAAACTCCAGTTTTCATCCAATCACATTATGACTCCTCGAAAAAATGATCCGATCGAACTCAAATTTTTACCGCAGATATTTCAGATCCTATCTCAGGATGTAAAGTTTTTTTTCCGAGAAATATGCTTTCCTTCTCGAGACATACGAAAAATGCTAAAAATCACGCAAAAAAAATCAGATTTTTTTCAGTTTTTTTCACTGGCTTTCAGCATTTTTTGTATATCTCGAGAAGGAAAGCATATTTCTCTGAAAAAAAATTTACATCCTGAGATAGGGTCTGAAGTATCTGTAGTATAAATCTGAGCTCAATCGGTCATGTGCTCCGCATTTGGCAACAAGATGAAAAAAGAGGGGTGGGAGAGGCAACCCTTAAGCACTGAATGCATACACTGCACATCTCTGTGCTGTGCGACTCCTTAGCTATAAATACATATAATTATATTAAATTAATGTTCTTTATTTTCAATGTGATAAACAAAACGAAAGAGTAGAGAACTTTTGATCACCAATGTATTTCATTTTTTCCAAAGGAAATAAATTATAGTGCATAACAGAAGTAGACAATTAAGAATGGGTATCCAAAATAGAAAATCATACAATGTACGATTACAGTATGTATTTAGTTTTGCATCATCATGCTGAACAGTACTTTGAACACTGAATGTCCATACACAACCAACAATGATCCAAATCAATGAGAAAAAATTTAATAAACATACTACTGATGCAATTAATCTGGTAACAAGGTTACCCATAATCTGTTTACTACATAATGCAATAATATTTAAAATGACAGCAAGTCCAACTCCAATAGCATTAACTGAACCGCAGACAATTAAATAGATTGGAATTTTTGGTTCTATGGAACATTGATCTTGATATTGTATTCCAATAGCAAATATTGATATTTGAATTATTAATAAAATGCCTAGAAGAATAAAGACAAAAGATGAACCATCTACTGGAACACCAGCAAATATAAACAGATATTTTGAATATTTGGATATTGGGCGTGGTGGTGGTTGCCAATTTTCGACTGATGGCATATTTTCATCAACAGCTTCTAATGAAATTTCAGCTATATTTCTGGTATCCATATCTAAATAAACAACTGATGACATAAAATTCTTATTCACTTTTTTGACAATTAAAAGTTTTCTCATTCTTTAAAAAACAGAACAGATCCACTTATGGAAGTTACAAAATATTCCAGTTTGTCAGACGCCTATTGGGCGAACAAGATCCGACATTTTTACTACGAATGCATTTTTGTCCAATGATGTGATCTAACTCGTTTATCAAGATAAAAAAGTTGCAGTTTGTGCATTAAAATAATGGACCACGTGTGATAATTGAATATTACGTTTTTAAGAAACTTCTGTTCATGTGAAGGACGAGATTCTATGAGATCTTGTCGATCTTGAGAGCAGGAGAAAATGTTACAGACATGAGTATCTTCAGAGAGACGATATTTGTGGATGGTGAAAAGTTGATAAGAGAGAGCCTTCAGTTCGTGGAAGAAATTTTCACGGAAAAGTCAATCAATCATTCACAACTTACGGATACAAAAGTCAAAAGTTTTGTTTCTTACAATGTACATATGATAAAAATCCTTCGAAAACTACTATCTTGTAGATTAACTATTTAATTATTATCACAAAAGAAACAAAATGGCACATAATGTGTCATAGGATCAACTATACATCCTAAACATTTCATCACGAGTCTAAGTTAACTTGTTGTTTTCTACAAAAATAGCTAACTTATTTTTGAAATAGAAAACTGGTGTACAATATATACTATTCTATTAATTAATATAAGCATGTTTTATACTCAACATGTAATCGAATCGAAACTTATTGTTTAAATTTAAATAATCAAAACGTTAAGTAAAATCTTGCTTTCAGTTTATTCTCTGTAACTAAAAGGCTGTTTTTAAGAAATTTTCTAGATCAGAAATATCCAGATCAGGCAATCCTACTAGGTTCATACAAGATTCTATAGGATCCTATTGATAATAGGATTTCATAGGATTCCTATTGCAGCATCCTGTAAAATCCTACAGCAGGAATACCATAGGATTCTTGATATAGGACGGTAGAAAAAATTCTATAGGATTCCTATAAATCGGAATTTTCTGCATTTCTTACAAAATCCTACGATAAGATTCTGTGTAGGAATCCTATTTTTCCGTTCTGTGTATATTTTCTGTTCTATAAGAGAACATAATCACCGACTTGTTTTGTAGTAACTCTAATAAAAATACGATTCTACTGTAGAAAATAAAAAATTCTTTTAATCTCAAATTTTCGAAATTCCGTTAGCCATCGAAACTCGCTATACTGTTCAACGACGTGTGAGTGAGTACTCACAAGTCTTGGACTTATCCGAACTCAGAATCACTTGATTCTGGCTAGTTGGGATCAGAAAACAATTAAACAAATAAAAATAATAAACTTAGTAGGATAAACCATATCATATCCTAGCTGACCATGCAAAATCCTATCAAATCCTATAATAAGATTCTATAGGATTTCCTACTGTAGGATCTCATGAGATCCTTTAATAAGAATCCTACGTCATTTCTTGTTTTAAGATGGCAGACATGTTTCCTATAACATCCTGTATGATTTCACAGGATCATATAAGATCAGGCAAGATCTTATTTTAGAATCTTACAAAATCCCATATGATCCTATTATACAATTCTTTGATCTGGGTAGACGCAAATACAAATGAGACATTTTTTTTCTCTAAAATTTTCGTAGTTAAACTTCATGAAATATATTTTTGGATAAAACTCGCAAATAGAACATATATTTTGTTTGAAAATGTAAAAGAATTGGACTTCTTGAAAAATTCGTGATACTTGTCTCACATACAGAAAGAAAAAGAACAGATCGAAAGTAAACATAAATCGTATGAATAATGAAATGAAACCCATGAAAATGCATTTGTGAAGCAAATGTATTTACTTTTGAATTGTATTGTCCACGCTCTTATTCTTTATTCTATACAATGTGATTGTTTACATTTCTTGGATGCAAAAATTTTATTTTACTGCGCATGAGTCAGCAGTGAATTGATTCAGAGTAAGGCCTTCTAAAGTCATATTCAATACAGAAAAACTGCAAACGATAGTATTATAGAAAAGAAAGTCAAGCTTAGAATCTTTTAAAACGTTTTAAAACGAAAAATTTCTTGTTTCCATTAATCAGATAGCATATTTTCCATACATTTTCCTCCATTTTAATAGAAAATTTCTCAAAAATATTGAACGAATTCTTTTATCGTTACAATTGCACATCGAAGGTAATCTATTTTGGAAAAAAACTATGTGTCATCTCTAAAAAGTTTCTCACATGGAAGGCGTAATTAACAACTGAACAGAATTTACTGTGTCTACATGTTGATATTGAATGAAAGTGGTTTTCAAATAAATATATTTGACAAAATTTTAATGTTTTTAAGAAACACACGTGATTTTCTTAGAAAATGTTTTTACAAATATCTAAAACCATACTAATGACAGTATAGTTTACTTAGAGTCTTTTGAACATCCAAACCAAATAATTTTGCACAAAATATTAAGAACTCCGAAAAAGAAACGATTTTCATTGATCGTACACGCTAAAGAAAAAAGTGTTTCAATAAACCTTTCAGGAACTTAGGAGACGGCACTATGTGGAACACTTTGGAGTTTAGTTAACAGAGGTTTATTACATCAATAACCCTTTTCCATGATGAAATTTTTATTTTAATAAACTCGTCATGAAGGGTTTATTAGATGATTTTATTTAGGTCTAATAATAAATGTCTTTATACTGAACGGAGACGACGGTAGAAAAGAAAAGAATTGTGGGAAGCGTTTCATTGAGAAACAAAGTGTGGAAAATGTACTGTTTTTTTTTTTTGTAAAAACGTTTCTGTTGTTTATTCTGATGCGTAATAATTGGCATTCGGCTTCAGTGTTTTTCAAAATAAAAGAATTATAATAGAAAGGTACAAAACAGGTATTCGTTGGGGGCATACTCAGTTTTTTATTCTTTCAAAACACAAACTAAAGTAGTTGTCAAAATAATTTACTTACTCAAAACATCGTTTTTCGTAGATGGTATTAACTTCACTGTTAGGATATTCTCACTTCATTTATCTTTTAATCACACAATAGAAATTAATTATTCGGAAGACTTGGAAAGACTTTGTGTTATACCCTTACGCTTTTTTAAACTGTCTGAAAAATTGTGCAATAAACTAACAGTTCATATGAGGGTTTATGAGATCACCTTTTTATAAAGCGTATATAACTCGACTTAAAAGTGAAAAGTTAGAGTATTGTTTCTAAAAACTGCCCATTTAAACAAATGTACCTTTTGAAATTTAGTTATTTCTGATTCTATACATTAGTTTCAACAAACACAAAATTAAATCAATGCAGTGGGACTGAAAAACTCATTTTGATCGAAGAATTTACATTCGGTTTCACTTCTGTTATTAGGTAGAAAAATACGGTTTGCTTATGCTGTTTTCATCCTTTAAATATGCCAAGGACATCACCACAAAAGCTTTCTGAGCTGAAGAAATGGAAGAACTTCTCAGTTTGTGTATAACAAAAAAATAATATCAATTTAACAACTCTTGATAGAACTTGTTCGTTTCCTATTATATGCAGTACATGTTTTTTAAATGAATCTTCGTTTACCAATAATAAACGTGACATCATTATCGAGAGATCGAAAATATGAATTTTGTTTTTTCTAAAGTACATTCATGCTTTGTTATATCAAACTCATCTTGAAGAATTATCACAAGATTCAGTACTGTGTTTAAAAGGAACTTATAAATGGACGCTTATCAAGACTAAATATAACGTCAAGAACGGAAAACTTAGTGGAGTAGACGTAAGTGTCTGTATTGTTTGCAGTGTTGTAAAGTTAGGAAAATATAAACTGACTCACTTTCTTGTGAACAAGTGTAGATGACGCTGAGAATTTTGTACACTATAAGTTTTGCTTTATTTGTTTTTCTTTCTGCATGCTTATTGTAAATAACGACGATTATAATAATTGTGTAAGAACAGAAAGGAAAAATAAGTTAAAGGAAACGTGTCAGGCAATTCTGATTTTATAGAAGCAATGCGTAAATTTAAGTTTTATTCATATATGTTCTTATTTTTACTTCTTCAATGCTATGTATAGTGTTTCTATCACATTATATGTTATACAGAGTGCATTTGTTTCTTTCAGTACCAGAAACTCGTTAAAAGTGTATTATATTACATGGAACGTTGCAACATTAAAAATTTGTGTTCTTTAGGAAACAAAAAGATGACCTTCATTTGTTCCTTATAGAGATCAAGTATGTGTTTTCTGAAGAATTGTAAAACAAGATTCTTCATTTTTCTAAAGAACATAATTTTTTTTCTTCAGCTTTTTTTGATTTCTATAGGGGACAATTTTTCTTTCGAAAATACAAATTTCAAGAACTACCAAAATTTTGAAGAAAAAATTTAATGTTTTCTGAAGAACAAAAATTTTATTCTTCGGTTTTTTTTATATCTATTTGGGAGATTTGCTACTGAAGAACTCAAATCTTCAGAACTTCATTTGCTTCAAGAGCATGGCTTTGTTTTTCATAAATAGAGCTACCGCCCTAGAAGATTTCGATATGTTTGTTAGTATAAGAAAGTTGAATTAATAAGTAAAAACAAGCAATTCACAAATCCACCAGTTGCTAATATTTCGTCCTCGAAGTCATTTGATTCCGATGGCAACATGCTTGCAGTTACGTCCCGAAAAAGACTAACAAAATAGACTATTAAAATCCTTATATCTCGATCAAATCTCACACTGACTCAAGGAAATTTTCAGAAAACGCTCAGGACAGCTCATAAAACATAATCGAAGACGAAAAAGGTGAATGTGTGTTCCAGAAACCTTCTGAAAAACCTCAGAGCATCAGTGTTCTGCTGGATCACTTTTTCGGCGTGGTCAACAACATATGGCACCTTTTAAGCCTTTCCTGAAAATTTCCTTGAATCAGCATGAGATTTGATCGAGATATAAGGATTTTAATTTTTGCTAGTACCAGGCGAAAAACCGGTTTTTCACAACAATGCCTCTGGCGAAGTTATATTCATTTCTACACAAAAACAAATGTTGCT